CCCCCCCCCGGTGTTTGCCATCGGGGTTGGGTTTTCTTCGCGTGACAACGACGTTGTAAAACAAGCCGATCACTTCGTGAGCTCGGCAACCAAGTTACCGCTTTTCTTTTGCTTTCTTTGGTATTTTGTTTTGAGGTAACCATGAATGGTGGTCGAGTAGATCATGTTGTGCGGGGTTGAGAGCTCTCACTCCGCGCAAAGGAGATCATCGCAACACGTTGTGTGAAATCGGTCGAACACCCTCGAGGCAGTTACACAGTGCTTGCAGCTGTCTCTGGAAGTGAAAGCACCAGAAAATAAATCAAGTCATACGCAGCTGTCATCCGGACGCAAGGAAGTAAGCACAAGACGCCGAACACCCTTAGCAGGATGTAGCGTGCCCTTCATCTGACTCGCCGAATACCTCACGGCGCTTCGTGCTTGGTGATGTGAGAGCGAGGTCCGGTGAGAACCCGGCGTGCTCCGTCCCGGCTTTGTAGGGATGCGAGGTCAATGGTCTAACAACTATGGCATGCACGACTATGAATACACCCCCCCCTCTCAAAAGTATCCAAAACAAGAACACGGGGACCTACATCGTGTGGCGAAAATGTAGGTGGATGGCTTGATTGACGTTAATCTGCCTTGAATATTTCCCAGAGTACGACAACGTCACGATGACGACACGCGATATAGAAAACACCCTAGCTGGCAAGCGCCAACGCTCTTAGAGAAGGTTCACACAGCGGGACTTCTTGCGGGGGAGCAGAGGAACGACGGAGAGCACATACTTGTCACTCGAGTAACGACCTGTCGCCGTTGGCTCTACTCTGCTTGGTGTTTGAGGAGTACGTTGTTAGGTAACGTGCACCCTCCTACGCTTGGATCGGATAAACATCCAAGCGTGCTAAACCCCACTTTGTCCCTGACCCGTAGGCGATGTGTTTGTCTGTTTGGTTTGACTTCCGCCTTTACCGTTTTCCGTGTCGCCCTTGCCCTTTGCCAACACGACAGCAAACGCCCGCTTGGCGTGTCCGATGCCGGATGCAAGGCGGTGGCGCACATGGAAAGACACCTCCGGGGGGTCCTTCAAAACCGCGGGAGAGCCACTCGGCTTGCGGACGATGAGGTGGAGGAGGGGGGGCAGCGGGCACAGCAACGCTGCCGCAAATGACACCGAGGATGGCGAGCCCGCACCCACACCACGCGTCTTCTTGCCGGCGTTGGCGCACCTCGGCAGCAACAACGCAAGTACCACCGTCGAAGCACCGCAAGTTTTTCTACCCGTACCACCTAAGAGAGACAGCAAAGTCGACTTGTGTGCCCTCAAAGCTGCTGCCCAGGGCGATCGTGTGCAGAGCCAAGTAAACGTCTACGACCTTCTGCACGCGTCAGCCGAAACACAGGGGCCAGTACCGAAGGCCGCTAACTTGGCGGCCACGAGAGCTGTGGCAGCTCTCTGGGAGGCAGGAATTCGGGTGCTCTCCTTGTTCGAGGTCCTCGTCTTCACGTACGTCTGGCTCCGAAACATCACCGAAGATGAACCAGACATGCTAGAGCTAGGGGCTACCGGGTGGACCCTACGAAGGCCTTCCCACGGAGTAGTGCCTGTCGGGACCACCGCTGAAAGCGTGGACACAGTCAGCACTGGTGCCGCCGAAAAGCACGTGCGGGAAGTGCTGGTGGTTGCGCGCGGGGTCAGGAATGGAAAGGGTGCATGCTTGCCGGATTGGTTTGGTGCGGGGGATTTCGTGGACGGTGAGACTTCAACCCTCTATGCTGCCCAGTTGGACGGGTTGCATGCATACGCGGTGGTGAGCGCATTAATGATCAAATGAGCTAGCAGCCGGAGGTTGAGTACACCAACCTCTTGCCTTCTCTTGATCATTGCATCGGTATCTTCACCTTTCTGAGAGAACTTGGGGAAAGGAATTCGGCGTTCGGTTTTCGGTTTGCCCTTTGTGATGCAATCATTGACTTTGCCCACGGGTGGACGAGCACTGTTCAGCGGTTTCAAAAACGAAGGCTGTATCCATCCCTCCACACAGTTCATCTCTAGCCCTCTAGAGTCTACCCTGCAGAATCGCTTGCCTGGGATTCCCTGTGCGTCGGGTCGTTCGTGAATTGTTTTCGAGCAGCCTCCTTCCTTCTCTTTCCATATGTACGCGGTGATATTTGAGGTGTGTTCGAACAGCCACCCTTTACCCCTTCTGATTGTTGCTGCAGTCAAAGTCAAAGGTCGTGGTCGAGAGGTGCACAAACTCTGCTTCGTGGTTCCAAAATCGAAGCTCCCATCTACCCCTCCAAACAATCCACCAGTCCCGAGCCCACTATAATAGAGTTTCGCCTGCCGAAGTGCGCGCCTTCGTTTTCCTCTGTGCGGTGTGCTGTTGGTTTGAAACGCGTAGTCAGAATTAAGGTGTTGTCGAACAGCCACTCCTTTACCTCGCGTGCGGATTGCTGCAGGCAAAGACAAAGTTCATGGTCGACGGAGTACAGCCGATTGGCGAGAAAGAGCGCAAGATCGCAGGTGTGTCTCATTATGGTTTTCTGGAGGGCTCGTATTGCCCGTTTCGTTGAAGGCCGATCGATGTCGGGCATCCCCAGGCTTACATGACATGGGTCGAGGCGTGTTGGGTTGCGTAGTTCAATATACAGTTGATAACCTTAAAGCATGAATCATGAGCACCTCTGTATCCATCCATTCGCTAACGCTTGACGCTCTTGCAATGGTCGTGCAACTTCCAGAGAGTGTCATTCGCTGCGGCATCGGGTATGCAGCCGGTGAATACTCCATCATGGCCCTTCAGATTGCACTGGCGGTGGACGTCCCCCCGCATNAGTTCAATATACAGTTGATAACCTTAAAGCATGAATCATGAGCACCTCTGTATCCATCCATTCGCTAACGCTTGACGCTCTTGCAATGGTCGTGCAACTTCCAGAGAGTGTCATTCGCTGCGGCATCGGGTATGCAGCCGGTGAATACTCCATCATGGCCCTTCAGATTGCACTGGCGGTGGACGTCCCCCCGCATGAGAGCGCGGAGAACTGAAAAGTGGCCGGGTACGATTGCGTTTGGCATGACACCACCTTCGACGACAAGTCGTCCAAGCACGCCAAATATAAGGTGTAGCAGTCGGGGATGATTGTGGGCCCAGACGGACCTCACGAGAACAACCACAGCAAGGAGTGCCAGCCACAGTACAGTGGTTTCACGACATGTGATGAGCTTGCCGGGATCAACCTGAACCCGCACGAACAGGACCATTCGAAAAAGGCGTTGTACCTTCGATCGCTCAATACCATGAAAATTCCAACTTCACTTTCGCGGTAAGGGTGATCAACGAGCGTCAAAACCAGGGGTTCAACAGAAAACTCAGAGGACGCTCTTAGCAAGTGTCACGGAACACCCAAAAGATAGCTTTGCTGGCTGTGAAGCCGCCCTGTGGAGGTGCGGCAGGAGCTTTTGCGGGAAGCCCGTCATGCGCGTATTCGACTGCCTGGGGACGGTGGACACTATCACGGTGCTGGGGTCGACCGCTTGAGCATAGCAGAACCGGGGAAAACATGGTAGAGTATTGTTCACGTTGGGATCGTGCCTTAAGAGTTGAAGGTGGGCGAAAGTCAGAAATGTATCCGATTGATAGTTCGGCCAGGCAGGCGTTTTGTAATTTCTCGCGTGGGACGTAGTTTTGAGTGGACGTGCAAGGTGCATGTGCAAGGTATTGGAATGTATTATGTTTGTTGACGGGTTGACCATCGACCGCCAAACCTGTGCTTGTGCCACCACTTTTCGCTTAGCGTGTATTGGTACTTCACAGTCTACTTTGTGTGTTTGCGGATTTCATCCCGTGTTTACGGTAGGTGATGCACATGGTGGTGATCCAATGACGTCTTCCAGGGTACACGCCCGTTATGTACAATTGTAGATTCAGGTTGAGTGGGTCCGGTGTTGTTTCGCCTTGTTGGGCCCGTGGTGTGGGTGTCGGTCCCCGACGCAGCGATGCATAGTGTAGCGAGAGTGTTTCTTAGGATCTGAAAACTTACGGAGCATTTTTGTCCTCCTCTGCCTGTGGCCCCTGTTTCGCGTGCATGCTGGATTGTACTGTGGAGCGGGCCTAAACCAGGGGTCAGGCTACAACGCTTCTGGTGTGCGAATTTGCACACGATATATTTTTCACGGTTGTCGTTGGTGAAACAGAGGGACATTTGCACTCGAATAGGCGTGAAAAAAAACGTTTGCACTCGACGAGGTGTAAAAAATGACGTGGTCAACAAACACGCGGGCGTTATTGCGATTGCCGGAAATGCGCCGTAAGGGTACCCAACTCAGGTTGGACATCCACAATGGCCCAAGATCTCTGCTTGCTCGACTCGTCGAGGTAGTCGGTGGGCACGAAGCATTATTCTTCAGGGTTGTCGTTGGTGAAACAGAGGGACATTTTGCACTCGAATACATGTTTGCACTCGACGAGGTGTAAAAAATGACGTGGTCAACAAACACGCGGGCGTTGCTGCGATTGCCGGAAATGCGCCGTAAGGGTACCCAATTCAGGTTGGACATCCACAATCGCCCAAGATTTCTGCTTGCTCGACTCGTCGAGGTAGTCGGTGGGTATAAGACTACTGTTCTTCTGGATAACGTCGACCGGAACACGTTGGAAACGGGTGCGCCCCCACCCGTGAGTGGGGGACACGGGGAGCATGGAATAAATTTCGGCATTTTTTCGGATTGAGATGGCACCCGAAAGTGTGCCGCGTGATCAGTATGAGTGGGTCATCCTTCTTGTTTCACACCGGTGAATGGGTGTACCCAACGTTGGGGAAAAAAAAAAATAGGAGAAATCGATAACACCAAAGAGTAATGGCGTTTTTCTTGGGTGGCCATACTGCTGGTGGCGGCCGGTCACGACAACCAACCCTTTTTTTTTGTTTCGGGCCTTTCTCGAGTTGTTCTATGCATACCATGTGATGCATACAACCTGGAATGTACGACCTGATGTGCAGCACAGCACAACTAGCGAAGGAAGAAGGCAGACCGCGATCCACGATATTCGATCTTCACCTATGGCAACTGCCGGATCAGATGGTTGACTACAGTGCCGGCCTACTCGTAAGAAACACGTATTTCAGCTGAGGCTCAAATCTTATTGCCGCAGCCATAGTGAGCTGAATTTCTTATGTCGGCATTTCCTATTTTTCCCCGACGAGAATTGCACCATGTCTTATTTTCGCCACCATGCAAATTGCACGATTTCTTATCATCCCTATTTCCTCTTCCAGCCACGAAGCTTTGCACTACCCGCGGGGTACATGCGCGACACCCGGCGGTACTGAACTGAAAAAATAGAAGCGCAAGGTCATTGTGCTAATGTGCGTGCGGACAAAATACTCCGTACATCCCTAACGCCCTTCGAAATCGATTGGTGAAGTTGTCACAACTTGGCATGCTCTATCCCGGTTGTTCAATGTTGCGAACGTTGGGGGTTCGCGCCCTACTGCCCTGCCGGCGTGGCTGTTCACCCTCACACCCCCCCCGCCGGCTCATTCAAATCGTCGATCGGCTCGATCAACGCCCACGCTCCTACGGCTGCGTTCGCCTTGTCTACATCGCATGCATCTGGAGGTATCTTCACAGTGATGGTGCTTTGGTCGTACGCCAGAACCACGCGGTAGTCGTAAGTTTGCGGGGGCACTGCCCGGCTGATCTGCCCCAAGAACCACCCCATACCACGCCTCAAGATCACGCAACGCTTAATCAATGCGCGATCCAGCTTTTCTGGAGGAGACTCTTGAAGACGGAATCCGACCGGAAGCTCCATCGCGATGATGTCATCGTCGGAGTCGACGTCATCGTCGCTGTCTAGCTGTGACAGGGGGTCTTGAACATCGCCGTGGTCATCACCTAGCAAATGAAGCGATGTGAAAAAAGTTGTCGAAATGAAGTCGGCGTGAGACAGGCGCGTTTGAACAAATTCACAGCCCCCCACCAATGCATGCAAAACGAGGGGCAAAGGCGAAATACAAATCGGACCTAGACTCGAAAAATTACCATCATTATCTGCGCTTGCGTCGCGTCGCTGTCGCAGCTTGATTCGCCACCGCCCGCCACCCCATCGTCGTCGCCGACCTCATCATCCTGGTCGGGCATCTCCTCGTCACTGCTCGTGCACTCGTCCATGAAGCTGTACGCCCCAACAACACCCTCCGGAGTGATGCGGTCGTCCAACGACCCGTCTGCCGTCATCGCCAGTCCGGCCTTCTCGAGCAGGCGATGACGGTACCCAGGCCGAGCGTCCATTCGCGTTGCACCAGCTGAAAGCTTGTTGGTCTCCCACAGGCAAAAGTTTTCCTTGTGCCCAAGAAATTCATCTAGCTCGTTACCGACTTCGACTTTGAGGAGGCGTCCATAGCCGGCATCGACTGGTTGGAGTTCGTCGGTCAACTTGGGGGGAAGCAGCCGCAGCAGCGTGTTGCACTCGCCGTGAAGGAATTTTTTGAACTCGTCCGTTGTCTGCGCGTGCAGGTTGTCCGCGAAAAGGATGGACTGCTCCTCTGGAACGACACCTTCCCCCTCCTTGATGCTGCGTAGGAAGCTGCTTTTTGCCCACGCCATGCACGTTGGGCCGTCCGTCCACGAGTTCTCCTGGAAGAGCACGTCCACACCGGGGTAGTACGCCGCCTTCTCCACCACCGAGACTTTTCCTTTCCAGCGGAAAATGACCGCGGTCGGCATCAACTTGTCGCCAGCTCCGATGCAACAGTTGACGGTGCACTGTCGCTTCTCAAGACCAGGGAATGGCTGCCCAATTTGCACTCGCAAAGCTCCCGTCTCGTCCCATGTCGAGTCGAGGCCGTTGACGAATGCGAGCCCAACCTGGTCGACGTTGAAACGCGCATTCAGGCTGAAGCGCCCGTAGAGGGACGATTCCACAGGAACGATCGCAGCGCCGTTGTTCTCGGCGGCGCCCGAAGCAGCGGCCCGGCGAACGGGTGGTTCCTGCAGCAGCTGGCGCAGCCTCCTGTGGAAGCTCTTCATCTGCGGAAGACGGTCCTCCACCGACTTTTTCTTCATGCTTGTGCGCCTTCGTTTCGAGAGATGGTGGCGCTTCGCGAACTTCCTGCACCACCGATCCGACGCTGAAAAGTTCTTTGCACACGGGTCGTCCGGATACATTTCCACCACGAGCTTTCTCGCGTTGACTCGAATCCAGGCTGTCGACACTCTGAGCTTCCTCTTGCGCCGTTGCAGCAGCAGCGAGTGCAGCTTCTTCTCTGCGTCTCCAGACCGCCTCCTCTCCCTGCCAGTCTTGAAAAGGTCTCTTATCAAGTCATTGGCCGCGGCTGCGATCAGCTTCTCTGCGTCACCGTTCCACCTGCAGATGTTGGGTTGGGGAATGCCGGTCTTCCTTGCCAGGAACTGCTGGCACGACACGCCGTGAACATGCCAGATCTTTTCGGCGTGATCGGCCTCCAGCTCTCGCAGCTCCGCGACCACCGCGGCCTTCTTCCTGTTGCTGTACTGCGTTCTCTTCTCAGCCCCTCGTGTTTTCTTCCCCTTGGTGCGTTCTTCGTCCGACAAAAGGCCGTCATCTGGCAAGTCTGATGTACCATCGCCTTGGGTCCTTGGCTGCAGCTCACGCGAACAGCTCCCNTCCAGCTCTCGCAGCTCCCCGACCACCGCAGCCTTCTTGCTGTTGCTGTACTGCGTCCTCTTCTCAGCCCCTCGTGTTTTCTTCCGCTTCGTGCGTTCTTCGTCCGACATAAGGCCGTCATCTGGCAAGTCTAATGTACCATCGCCTTGGGTCCTTGGCTGCAGCTCAAACGAACAGCTCCCTCGCACGTGGTACATTTTCTGGCCCGCCGCAGTGACGTGCCCGCCTCCCTCTGAGTGGTGAAAGACGACATTAAAACACCTGCCCGAATACCCGTGCCAAGGTTGAGTCGACAGGGTCCCACCTGTCGCGAGGGCGCGCCTGAGCCCTCGTCCAAGATGCCGAAGAGGAGCTGGGTGCACGGCACTACAGTGTAGCGATTGACCTTGTTAGGAGGCAAAGGTCTTCGGGCAGTACAGGCACTTCAACTTGGGAGGAGGTGGTGCGNACGTGCCCGCCTCCCTCTGAGTGGTGAAAGACGACATTAAAACACCTGCCCGAATACCCGTGCCAAGGTGGAGTCGACAGGGTCCCACCCGTCGCGAGGGCGCGCCTGAGCCCTCGTCCAAGATGCCGAAGAGGAGCTGGGTGCACGGCACTACAGTGTAGCGATTGACCTTGTTAGGAGGCAAAGGTCTTCGGGCAGTACAGGCACTTCAACTTGGGAGGAGGTGGTGCGATGGGATAGTGGACGCGGGTGACTTCCTCCACGATGCCATTGCGGGTACGCTTGATCTGCGAGAAAATAGCAGCAAAGAGAGGCCGGGGGTACGGGGAGTTAACAGTACAGAAAAAATGTTTTGTCTACTGTCCCTCCAAGTAATTTACAAGAGACATTTTCAACGGCAGCGGCACGTGATTGGCACGCTTCGACAACAGCAGCAAGTGTCGCTGAAAAGAAAAGTTGAAAAAACACGAGAGCAAAACAACGGGCAGTGCCAGGATTCAAAACCGCGCCCTCGAACTCGATGGTGAACCAAAAGAATCCCCCGTAAAAGATTTCGTGTTTTGGTTTCTCTGCCGGCCAGAGTGGCACACTTCGACACCAGCTGGGAGTGTTGCAGAAAAAAAGTTGACAAAAAACACGAGAGTAAAAAAAAGGGCACTGCCAGGATTCGAAACGGCGTCCGCAAACAAACTCGATGGTGATCCTCCGCAGGATATTTTCGTGCTATATTTTCTCTGCCGGCGAACAATGCGGGCGAGGGAGCCGAAACAGGTGATACACCGGACAAACACATGTCATTCACGAACATGGCCAAAGGATGCAAACGGAATCTCCAACCAACTCACCGGCTTGTTTGTTGCTGCGGCCCAGCGGTTGACGATGTTCCCTTGCATCGTGTTCGCCGCCGCCCTCGCTTCCTTGGCCGTGCGCTTGCCCTTTTTCTGTGCGGGCCTAGGAGTCTCCACCACCTGCGACCCACCAACCCCTGCTTCTCCGCCCGCCGCTGCCGACCGTGGTGCTCCGTCTCGCAAAAGGTCTGCAACTTTTGCATCTAGCTGCTCGGTAGTCTTCCGCCGAAAACATGCCGCTGGACAGCAAGTTGGCCATACGCTCCACATGCGACCAGAACTTGTCATCGATGGGCTTGTTGGCGATCACGTGCTTCTTGATGGAATCTTTGTGGCTGCTCTCCTTGATGTAGCCGGCATCAACAAAGTTCGACAACCTCTCGAGGTTGCCGATGGATGCGTCTGAAAGCGGCATTGCCTTCCTTGTGCATGAAGAACACCACTAGTTTTTTTGTGAGCGGTGGCGGCGTTTCTGGGGGGTCCGCCGACGCGGTCTCAAGGAGATCATACCCTCCTGCGGCGGAAGAAGGCCCACGCCCATTGTATGCGCGTGGACGCCGTTTCTTATTTCCTGCGGCCAACCTTGGATCATCTGTTTCTTTTGTCTAGGAAGTCGAAATTGTGCTATTTCTTGTCAGTCCGTTTCTTATGACTCTCCGTCAAAGCAGCTCAATTTCTCAGGCGCTTTTTCTTAAGCAACCCTAAAATCTGAGCCTCGGTCTCTTACTTACGAGGGTGCTTCTTACGAGTGGGCCTAATATCGCTGCCTCTGAAGTTGACACCGGCTACGACTTGTGGGCGTTCTGGCATGACAATAGGCACAAGAGAAGCCTTTCTCAATGGTATCAAGTTGCGAAAGACATCGCTTTGCTCCAACCGTCCTCTGCCTTCATGAATGAGTACATCAGGATGAGGTAAAACATGAATCAAATGTTTCATGTTGAGTGTATTGTCGACACATACCGGAAATCCATGGCGGTGTGGAGACGATCGATGTAAGGAGATGTGGACCGCAAGGAGTCCCGTATTTTTTCCATAACGTCCTTGTCGAGATGGTCGGAAACGTAGTTGGGATCGTGCAGAGGCCATTGGACGTTGGAGTGCTGGCCATTTCTGACGGAATGGTATGTTCTGGAGGAAGTTTTGGTGTAAGGAACGGCATTGTGGAACATGTAAAGAATGAATATTTTGCTTCCATTGCGTCCATAGATTCAACAGGTCAGCGTCGAGGTAAGCGTGATTTGTAGTAATTCGGCACGGACGAAAAAAAGCCTCTCACAATATGAAATATTTTCTAAACTACTATCTAAGAAGACATGATGAATCTCTGTGTTTACAATGATCTACATAGTGAAACCCGAAGGCATCATACAAATTTCCTTGCTCACCTTCCTTGGAGGGACAAAAGGTGGAACATGTACAGAATGAATGTTTTACCTCCATTGCACACACACATAGAATCAACAGGTCAGCGTCAAGGTAAGCGCCTCACACAATATGAAATATTATTCTTAACTTCTACCTAAGAGGACATGTTCTTAGTGTTTACAATGATCTTCACAGTGAAAGCCGCAGACAGCATACAAATTTACTTGTTCACCTTCCTTGGACGGACAAAAGGTGGTCGCCAAACATCTTCTTCAGTTCACCATCCTCGACATTGAGCGAGGCGAAATTGCACCGGCAATTGTACATCCTGGCGTCTTTGCGGAACTTCTGAGCCAAAGGTTCAGAAGACTGGTACAGTTCGCTCAACGAAGGAGGAAGTGGAGGAAGCCTGGGGAGTACGGATTTTCCGTTCTTGCAACAAATTCCCTTCGATTCTTTGGCGAACAGTTTCNACCATCCTCGACATTGAGCGAGGCGAAATTGCACCGGCAATTGTACATCCTGGCGTCTTTGCGGAACTTCTGAGCCAAAGGTTCAGAAGACTGGTACAGTTCGCTCAACGAAGGAGGAAGTGGAGGAAGCCTGGGGAGTACGGATTTTCCGTTCTTGCAACAAATTCCCTTCGATTCTTTGGCGAACAGTTTCGCACCGCAATGGAAGCAAGGATCAGTCATCTGGACGTTGACTCCCATGTCTCTTCGCGCTTCCTCCAAGGCAGAAATACGGTTCTGGACAATGTCTTGAAATAAAGCCCCGTCGTTCACTATACCAAAGATGTTGTCGAAGCGTTGTCTCCGCGCGCGTATGATGTCTGTCCTACGCTTCCGGCGGATGGAGTTTAGCTGGTTTCGTCTCGCATGACGACCGTTTTTCCGACGAGCGTTGATGGCTGCGATATTAGCAGCCCGATAATCGCGCCATTGGGCGATACGACGTTCATGGCGTGTTCTACTGTTACTTGCCCGAACACTGATGTTTTCGCCGGCCATGTTTTACGTCTAAAAGATCGGATCGGTAAAAATATGCGGCATCCAGTATGTGAAAGAGCGCGAAGTATCGGGGGACCGAAAAAGTAATTTTGGGTCATTGTTATATTTATTTATTTTTGCCTTCGGACAATTGCAGATGTACCTCAGAAAACTTTCACTTAATGTCTCATACTCTATTCCATCGCTGGTCGCGCTGCCGTTCCGCAAGTGTACCTGTGCTTGCGGGTCTGCGTGTGTGACATCGAGGAGTATTCCTTTGTTGCGGTACCCCGGAGAAGTTGTTATATGCATGTCCAGTTTTTGATGAGTTCCAGCGAGGTTGAGTAGTCACGAAGTGTATGGGCTGGCTATAAAAATTGAAACACCTTGTTGGTGGGAAGGTATCCACGAGTACGACGCTATCGGCAAGCAAAAGGCGGGCAAGACTCATCGACCCAAACAGAGGCTAATCCCGATTGATATGTAGGCTCGGCGCTCGCTATAAATATTGATGGCGTGGTCCGTATTATCATTTTTCAAATCGCCAAGCTTCCGCTGATCAATTTCTGGAAGGCGGTCCATATACGTACACAGTGCTCGTTGCAGAACTCACGACAATGTCGAGGTTTGCGTCCGTGTCGCATATACGTACACATTGCTCGTTGAAGAACACACGACAATGTCGAAGTTTGCGTCCGTGCGGCGTATGCGTGTCGCTGTGATGAAGGGTCATTGGTTACAACAACCATACCATCCGAACAAGGTGATGCAGAGTCCTACGTAACGTGTCGACCAATGCCTGCGAACGAACGCGTACGCACAGAATGTTCCTAACGTCTCATACCTCAACGTGTTCAAGATGCTCGGTTCCATCAGAAGGTGTGCAGTAGTTCGTAGGGTGACGGAGACGGCAGCGTCCCGGCGATGAACGCGTCCCAGGTAGACGGCATTGACAGTTGGGAACCGATGGCATGCGGTGTATTTTTTTTGTAAATCGGTGATGTTTGAATGTATTGGATCGCAAGAGCGATGATGTTTGATTGTTTGATTAACGAATACGACTCTGTCATATCCACCGTTCCTGTTGCCTACAAGACACACGTGGGACGACACAGCTTGACAAGGCGCTCCCGTGAGGTCACAAGGAGTCGCGTTGTTTGTAGGATGTTGTTGTTGTTGATGTTGCAGGATGCATACTGCTTCCACTGGTTGTCGGCAGAAGCGCATGTGGCCTGTGGAGCTTCCGAAGGAAGCGGGATGCGATGTCTCCAACACGGCGTTGGTGGCGCCAGACATCCACATGTGTTCTTTGTTGTTTACAGAATGCAGCGATCCACGCGGGTTTTGCTGTTGTACGTGTGGCACTTGTGCAATGTCGACTTCGTGAAGAAGAGAAACACATGAACGGCCGAAGCATTGGAATGTGTATGTGTAATACGTTTGAACAGGACCATACGTAAAGACACCAGCGAGCGATCGATGGATTTCACATGGGATCGCCATTAAACACTGCTGTTGACGTTCCTACAGCGGCCGGGAACAACTGAGTTCTTCCCCACTATCACCAAGTACACGGAAGAGCGATTTCTTGGCATAAAATTTATTCACGTGCGAAACGTTGCGCGGGATCGCGTGGCAAAAAAACAAAATCACAGCCGTGTGGGTCCAGTCTAAAATCAAGTCTAATGTGGTGTCACTATCCTGTGAATATATATAACATAATACATATGAAATATAAATAAAAAAAATGGATGCTGACAGAGGAGCACAGAGCTGAGCGATGCTGCCCGGGATTTCACAATGTATGCTGGCGTGCACAGGGCTCCCCGGGGTGCGTTTCTAGCTACCCTTTGCAACCCACTTTCATCACGCCCCCGCGACGACCACTTGGATAGAAATCCGTTTGGAAGATGGACTTGTGTCCGCAGACTTCTCGCCAAAAATGCGGACCAAAAATCTCACCGTGATTGGAGCACCCTGCGAGGAAGGGTTACACCAGCAGGTGTTTTTGAAAACTAGAAACTGCCCAGGCTCGGATCACACACCCCGACCACCAACGCGCGCCACGCCAGAGCACGCCAAGTGCCTCCGCATAGACAGAATAAACTTTGGGGCTTTTGTCATTCGGCTTCAAGTTTGATCGTGTTGTGCGACCACGAGTCTCTGTATCCATTTGAGGGCGTTATGTTACTGCTCTTCTTGCATCACTCGAGCGCCAGAGATGAGATCCAAAGGATACACATTTTGAACGCGCTCAGATCTAGACAGACTCTGTCCGCAGGCGCACGGCGTTATCACGGTTCATGAGCGCGTGAGCCCTGCCGACCACTGATTCTATCGTCAGTGTAAGGATCGTTCGCCGAATCGAAAGCCGTCATGTCAGCTAGAACGGTTAGGCTCTCTCCGGTACTGCCGAATCTCCAGGATGAGATACATCCGTACATTTGACAACTCGTCGATACTCTTGAGTTCCTCCAACATATTCGCTGCTGTACTTTCAAACGTCATTAACGGTTGTTAGCAAAAAGTAGCTAGGGTTTCAAGATGCGACCCATCATTCTCTCAGTTCCTCTGCTGAAAGAGGCAGCAACCCACAACATGGAAATTCCTTAGAATAACACCCTTCTTACTTGCGGTAGGGCTTGTGCTCGATGTTCCGCGCGCGAGTGCTTTTTCATTGCTGTGACTGCCGAGAGTGAAGCTGTCGTCGATTGCTGAGTCTGAATACAGTCATTCCGAAGTAGTGAGGCACTTAAATACGTACATATACCGTTGCACACGGCGACACCAAAAACCGAACATACTACATACTACTGTACGCCGCGAGAATAAGCCGAAAACCCGCCGCACGCCGCGCTCCCGCCGGGATTCTACATCTTCAGCGACTAGTGCTTTTGGCAATTTGCAGTGTTGTAGTGTTTTACCAGGACCTTATAACCTAATCTGTGAACATGAGCATGCATAGTCGTCTAGCCGAGTGCCAAGTTCTCGTGTATGTCATCGTTCCCACCGCGACGGCTTCTGACAGGCTGACAGCGATGTCTTCAACGCCGGGGAAGGATTCGGGGGCACCGAGGAAACGAGCACATCCCACGCCCAGCTGGAGTCATCGCTCATTTGAGAGCAGTCGCGGCGCTTCGAGACAACGGGTACGTGTGACACCATAGAGTCCGGGGGTGGGGGTGGAGGGGCATGTCTCCAGCGTGTAAATGTTGTTGATGAACACGCGCATCTTGTCGACGAAGCTCTAGGCCTGGTTTCCCTGAGAGATGCCGCGCTATACGTCCCTCTGTCCTGCTCATTCTCGTCCCCCGACCCTCACCCCTTTGCGTTGTCTTTCGCCACTTCGCCTTCTGCCCCCCCACAGGATCCCGTGGAACACCGGTTCGGGCATATGCGCCAAGGCCTTGGGTCGCACAGAAACCCGACGGCTACGCAAGCGAAGGACCTGTTGGGCGGTACCACAGCTGTAGTACGCTGGTTGGCGTATGTGGTAGAGGCTTGGTAGAGAAAACAAAAAGAGTGATTTATTATCCACACACAGACGCCTGGACTGTCTGCACCTGACGGTTACAGTAAAACAGAACGCTTTCACAATACCGTATCAAACACATACAGCAGAATAGAGTCGGTCTTGCACAGCAAACACCCCAACATGTCCTCTCAAGAACGTACGTCATTCTGATACATGAGACTCGAATCTTCTCTCGATGTCCTCTCAAAATAATGTCCTCTCGAAAACCACTCACGAGTACTTGCGATCTCGACTCAAAAATAAATAGTCATTACCTGCCATTTCAACAAGCAGCGAAAACATTCCTCTTACACAGATCTCCCGA